ACCACTACACAACCTTGAACTGACGGAACCGCAGCGAGTATCAGCACTATCCTTTCAGAATATGACGTCATCTTGTAGTGTAGTGGTCCGTAACGGGAGCAAAAACTGCTCCAAAGTATGAATACACACAACAGGATACTGTATGCCCTTAAGCAATGCGTCATGATGCACGACGAGTTTAGAATCCTCTACAATGTAAACAACACCAAGATTCTGACATACGCAGAGTCACTAGCCATTCAAAATTACTATTCTCAATCGTGTAAACAGCATGATTGGCTTACCACTCTTGCGCTACGTTGATACAATATGTGTTCGGTGAGTAATTTGGCAGTAATCTTTCTCCATTTATGGTTCTCTGATTTTTGACGACATATTAATGATCACAAACTGCAGTATGCATGTGTACAGATGCAGAGAAATGATCCAGGATAAATTGTGCAAACCTGTTTTTGGCTTCCCTATTCAAATTCGGAAACTCAGTTTCTAGAATGTCCAGTGAACTTAGACTGTGTTCATCAGGGTTGTTATTATCACACAACTGAACTACAGGTGACAACGAGAGCATCACAAAGATTACGAACCGATGAGCAAACAGCCTCGTGTCAGGTTAACGGATTTCAATTTGCGCAAATCGCGGAAACTGATCCAATGAGATCGCGGAATCAGAGGGAATTTTATTGTTTCAGGTCACGGTTGAGAGGGACAAGACGATGTGAAACGATTGAGTAATCGCACTGTATAACTAGCGCGTTTTGGTCGACAAAGCTCTTTAGATGATCACTGATCTGCTGTTATTGGTTCTTTCCTCTTCTCTGATTTCATGGGGGTAATAAATTCACACACTGCTTCTAAAGACCGTATTTCCTCACTTTAGTCGACCTTTTCCCACGGAATTTTTCTAAGCTACGCAAGATTACAGGTCCGATGCAATGATGTAAAAGCAGTACATCCATTCAGTTCTTTAAATTCTAAACCAAAAGCAGACTCGGTTCGGTAGGAAAACGTCTACACCACTCGTGAACAATTCGAGAATACTACAGGGTGCCGTATTGCCTCCGTTCGTGTTTTCCACCTACATCAGTGATCTGCGAGTTCTCCAGCCCAGTTATTTAAATATGCTGATGACGTAGCCCTCTGCCAAGCCATTTTTGTGCCTGAGGACCTTTTACGTTTCTCGAATAATCTATCGCATATTCATGAATTTGCCGTTCATTCTGGACTGTCTCTTCATTTATTCAAGTGCTTCGAATGCACTTCCTTCCTTTCTCGATCGGTTTATCCTCGTAATCCGTCTGTCATAAACACAGATCCCCTAACTAGAGTTGATTCTGTAAAGTATCTGGGAGTTTCAATTGACACTAACTTAAAATGGACATCCCATATTTACAACTCTGTACAGAAACTTCGCAGATTATCTTTTCAACCTCGAAGACTTAGGCAGTTCAATGCCAAGCAGAAAATCATTTCACTTTTTGTTTATCAATGTGTTTTCCCCGTTCTTCTTTATTGTTCCCCAGTGGTTTTGGCTGGTCTACTAAAGAAAGACTTCAAAATTCTTCGTCGAAGTTTGTCGATCATCAGTCGTGTGTCTTTTATACCCGTTGATGAGCTATATAAAAAACTATGTGAACTTCACTTGTCCGCATGTGAAACATTTTCCCAGAAAATCCTCGCTGACCCCAACCATTCTTTACGAATGGTTGGGCGATTTATCTAAATGCTGCTCTCATACGTCTACACGTTCTTCTTATCAATTATTACCCTCTCGCATTAGTCTCTACAGATATTCCCCAGTTCCCTATCTTGCCAGAATCCTTGTCAACCGAGAGCGCGCTTCCTCAGAATTTCTCAGTAACCTTAAAGGCTAAATATTTCACTTGTATCTTTCCTTCTATTGATGATATGTGTAATTTTTGACTGAAATGCGAACATTCTGTTCTCGCAAAAGTCTATATGAATACAAATAGATAAGACTTTGGTCAAAGATTCGAATGCTGACAATGAGCATGTTTTGGAAGGCGGAAGAAATTCGAATGCATTTGTACGAATTTTCTGGTGACCCATCATCATGTGAGCTGTGTAAGTGCAGATATCGTGAATGGTCACCAGGACAGGCTCGACAACTAGAGAGGACCACGTGTTCCAATGCACACGAATCACATGATTCCGGTTCTTACAGAATTGACAGTTGCCAGGTTCGCCTACTGAACTAATCACCACATTGCCACGCCCAGAGATTTGTTTGGTTCCGTCGAATTTTCGAGGCCCGTTAACAGACTTATGTCGCATATTTTGCTCGAATCAGCATACGGTACAGAAACTGGCTCGGAAACTCAGTAGGGTGTCTGGTACCGTGTACCACGTACGGTTTCATCAGGGAGCATATAAGCTGAAATATGCAGTCAGATGAAGAAATCCTTTACTTTTACCCTTATTCCGCATAGGAGGCAATTTATCTTGGTAAAAGATGTGAAAGTAGGAAGAGTGAGTGCGTGCTTTGCACGTAAATGCCGAAACGTTTTTTCTGGAGGCACGCAATACTAGTTTGAACAAGAGATGATTGGTAAGGGGGAAATCCAAGGTCAAGTCAAACACTGTTGAGGATGTGGAGTTCAGTTCAGTTCACTTTTTACAACCATTAACCATGCACTTTCGTGCGCCGGTTTTGGTGGCCGTCTTTTAGTGCCCCACTTGGATAAAAGAGCAGAATGAAGACTGGAATGTTGAAAGCAAATTCAAGCGGAAGATGGAGAAATCATATAGAGTAGTTTTAGGGGAATAATGAGTGGATGCACGAGCACCACTGTTCGCGATGTGGAGAGAAACGAATAGATTAAATGCAGATAAAGACCCAAGAAACTACCCTTGCGGGATACGAAATGTTCGCCAACCTACCCATCTTTTACTGGTCTGCGAAATAAAACCTGGATCTACAGCTTCGCAGCACCGATTTAGGATATTTCATTCTAGCGAAACGTAGTTGAGTTACGTGATACAGTCTAGCGGAAAACGTGCAGTATTTTATATCGGATAGATGTGTGCTTTGCGGTTCGATTGACCAACAGAATGTGGGAATCAGGAAAGCAAAGTCACCAGATCAGTAGGTATTTTGGTCTTTTGAGGAAATTGAGTCCATAGATGGATTAGTTTAAAGATACAAAGTGATTATCAAAGCTGCGATGTCGTCCCGAGCGATATCAGATCCATTTTACTAGAGGCAAATGGATCAGATCGTGAGCTACCATAAGCGGATAGCACCTCCTTATGACTTTGCGGTTAATACGTTCGACCGGACACCATATCGATGAAACGTTACAAAACGGAAACAAGTCGCAATGTTGAAGCTATACACATCCCCATTTACGACTAAACATGAACAGGCGGTAGTGGTCAAGCAGTTTAAATCACTGTCGTCGGCGTGCTTCGGGCCCTAGGGTCCGAAATTCAAACCCCACCACCACCACCTAACTTGGGAGGTAGGCAACCTAGCTGTCCTCCGGCACAATGAAAAGCCTAACCTAGAGGGACTTCATGTGATTCGCTCCCAACGTCTCGGAGAATAGGTTGCCAGTTTTCATGACTGATCAACACGTTCAAGTGAATATGAGGTTTACGTCGTCTGCTGTTCATCACACAAAAGTTTGGGATTACCGACAATCTATGAAAGCTACTTATACCGTCAAAATTTGTCGGAATGCTCTGTCGATGGAGATATAAACATTACTTTCAATTTGCTTCCCAACTATTAATCATATCTTCATGCGCCAGTTTTGGTTGCTGTCTTTTGACTACCAATCTGGATAAAAGAGCAGAAGGAAGATTGGAGTGTTGAGAGCAGAATCAACCTAAAGATGGACAATTCCAATTGACTTGGATTGCAACAATAATGAGTAGATGCAACACGCAGCCATATCACTGTCTCTAACCATCGGTTACATCTCGGGATTCCCGTCCAGGGAGCCTAACGGGGCCTTTGTGACCCAGTGTTTCGGTTAGGATTTTCATACCCTCAGGCAACGTCTGAGTTTGGCCGCCCTTGACCTCTTTCTTACCGCTTCCTGTCTCGGCAAATATCAGGCACCGTGGCAGTCTATTTGGTGGCATGCGGAACACATGTCCAAAACAGCGCGGTCTATGGACATCGATTACTTGTTTCAGTGGATGACCGCGATTACCTAAAACTCTGAGCCTAACCTACGCATTGCTCATCCGGCTAACCCACTAGACTCGTGTATTGCGACGTAGACAGTGGTGTTCGAACACCGACAATCTATTTTTATCCTGTTCCCGCAATGGCCAAGACTCTGCACCGTAAATCAGAACTGGCCGAAATGCTGCAGCATACACTTGACCTTTCACGGACAGTCGAATGTCGCGACAGAACCACAGATGTCTCAAGTTGGCAACTGCCAACAGTCTTCTGTATGCCTGTCGACACTTCATCCGTGACACATCTGCCAGGTGAGATATAGACCCATTAGGTCTGTCATCACAAGTACCATCAGGATTCGAATTCGTTTCAGCTCCCTCCGACACTGTTGTCTTGCCCCAGAGTTAGAGGATTTTCAGGAATATTCAAAATACATCTCTCGGACGTTTGCTTCAGGGTTGGTGGTGGTTTTCAAACTTGGAAATAGAGTATGCGAACAGCAGAAACCTCGAATTATGTTCAAAGAGTACGAGAACTCTGCTTGTTATTCATAGCCCCAATGGAACATTAGCGCTGAGTTGGAAAACCCTAGTTCTTGTATTTTAAAAATAAATTCCTCGAGACATAGTGAATGCAAAAAAAATATACAATTCGCGGGGGAAGGGAGTTGACAGCATGAGTGGGAATGGGAAGAGAGAAATCGATATGCTACCCGCTGCGTTTAGCGGGCACAAAATCACCGTACAGATGGCGCGGTTCAGCAAGAATGATGTATTTTATATTGCAGTTGCGACCGACTGAGTAGGATGGAGCACGAAAGTGCGTGATGGGTGTAAGGGGATAGGGATTATTCGATCAATTGCATGTCCAAATGCATCCGATCAATAACATATTGGGGCATACAAAAGACCGGGTTGATCGGTTTCAAACGGACCTTGATCTCCAGTAGGGCAGTAGTGATTGCATCTTGCTCGTGAATGGAGCCATTACCATGCACAGTTTCCAGGGTCCCGGAATCTCGCCCGGCTTGGGCAATCAGGGAGAGGCCAGCCAGACCGAACAAGGTATGGAACGGGTCGGGTATGTCCCCGGGACGGTCAGCAATACCACCGGTTTCCGCATCCTGAGCAGCCAAAATAAAGCGGGTCAGTTTACGATCATCGATCCACGTCAGACGACCCAGAATGGTTAAACTGGCCAAAGCCCACCTGAAGGATGCAATTCAAAGAGAAACAAGCACATTATGATTATGGGGAGAAGTGAAGGACTGGTTGATGTAGCTGTGCACTATACATGATAAGTCAATTAATGGACCGTTTTCCTATCCACAAACTGGAGATGGGTCTGGGCTCGTCCGCTGGTTGTTAATTTGCAGTGGCTTCTAGGTGACTAGTTGCCTCTGCAAAATGAACTGTTTTTATGGATGCGGTTCCCATGAGGTTCGCGGAGATGGGGGTACAGAGTGATGTTTCTAGCATCACTTGGCTTTTGTTTCAGGTGCCTTTGGCCTTTGCATAATCAAGCGAAAGCACCTAGGCAGTCGAGATTTCCATTTAGATTAGATTTCGATAACGATACTCAGCTACTCTCAGCTAGTTCGATCTGACAGTCAAACGATCTCCTGAGATGTAGCTGTTGCCCACGTACCGGTAGCTACATGAATCCAACATGCAAGAGAAGAATTCCAGTTAGAGAAGAACGATAGCAATGTTGCCCTTTATATACAACGTTGAAGGTGCTACTCATTCGCACCACCCCATCAACACACGCTGAGTACGGCGGCAACTGAACGGACCTCGGTAATCAGAACAGCAGAAAGATAACACGTACGAGGTGCAAGCGTTGTATTTACGTTTTGCGGTCTCTGCGTAAAACATTCTTATACACATTAGAGAAGACAAAAAACAACCGTGTGTTATGTGCATCAAATTTTCAACAACAAAAGAGAGATGAATACAAGCTGTGGTTCGATTCAATATCACGCCTTACTTGGTGGGGCCTTATGTGGTTCGCCACTACAAGTCCCAGGGCTTAGGGTACCGGTTTCCGTCACTAAACAGCAAGTCATCGTGATTATGGAGCTTTCCCCGTCAGCTGTTCATCACACTAAGGTGTTTGATTTTAAAAAATAAGTGCGAATGACATACTTCGTGCGTCGATCGAAGAGTATAAATCAAACAATTGGATCTTAAAACTCCGGTGTTTTCTCAGTTGTGATAAACTAGATCAAGGGCTCCTTCTTGGTAATATGCGCAAAGGATAAACGGAAGGCGATCAGACACGAATATTAGTGCAACATCGTGCAACCTCTAATAGCACAAAGTGTGTCACTACAACGACCATAAATAATGTATTGTGCAGAACAGCGTGGACGCTTAATTTGGAAAGGGGTTAGACATGCGATAAACACTTTCAAAATGTTCATTACTTGGCGACAAAGAAGATAGCGGATAAACGTTTAGACACTGTTCTGGATTTTCTTATTAATCAAAAACTTCGAGGGATTCATTCCAACCAGTTGAAATCCCTCTCTCACACACTCATGAGCAATACAGTTCTCACTGTTTGAATTGGCCAAACTGTGACAAATTCATTTACAAACAAGAAATTCTTTGGCTTCTGAACGTCTTTTAGATGAACTGGGTAACATCCTTACCGACAATCAACAGGAAAGTGGTTTCCATGATTTAAAATCCTATTATTTGATTCAGAATACCGAATTCCCGGTGAGTATCACATTCATTTCCGGAAACCAGACAGTCGAGTTTTCCAAAGTCCGTGTGTTTTGCATCTATATCTCCTGCATTATTATCGATCGATCTCCACCCGGTTTACTACTCAAATTGAACACTACTCTTATGGTGTACAACCATTGAGCTTCAAGCTCCGTGTCCCATACCTGTATTTCGGCGACTCATCTGGTCAACCAGCGAAAAAAAAGATGGAGGGTACAAACAAAGCTGGTAAAACATTACCAACAAAATAATACAGGGTTTGAGAAAATCGGATGAGAGAAAACCGATCAGATACAGGGGCGCCAATGTTCACGACACTAGACCACTTCGGTTCCCACTCAGTTCCCAATCACTGACTGAGTTCATTTTGGGGACCCCAACAAGATCTAAAATCACCTACACGACCAAGTACGTAGGCTAAGGGTTGAAACACCGTTGTAACGATGCAAAATACTACGGTTCGTGACCTTCCTTCATATGTGCCAGAAGATATGCGGGATACACGCGTCGGGAACTAATAAGGTTGAACCCGAGCACCAACGCGCGATAAACGACTAACCAAAAGTCTATATCTAACCTTGACAGTGGTAATTCGATAATACTAACAGACTTGCGCAACGTTGACAGTGTTCGCACACTGCTAACCAACCTTTATTTTTGCGACTAGTTGTCGTGCCAAACGGGTGTGATGTGTTTGACTACTCAAAGGCACGTAACTTTCGCAGCGAATTCATAGCTAGCAAATGTCAAACGAGTTATCCCTATATATAATAATGAATCGTTCAATTTATAAAAACTCATTCGTTTGACCAGTCTCATATGCCTATCAGAGGGTTGAAGCGCTTATCTGTGTTCGTTTGTTTCTAATTCCCTCTTGGAATTATATGTAGTTTCATTTCTAAATCTACCTTGGTTGACCATGACATATTTTGCGTGTTCTTTGTTCCACCTAGACCATCGACCCAATTAATCATGCACCTGTGTTGTAATTATTCTCTAGACTGCCAACTCGGGCAAAACATTTTTTTAGTGACTGAAAAGTATGGATTATTGCTTATGCAAATCTGATTTTACTGTGTACGTTTCCCTTAATTCCAAACTGAATGAGGCATGGTGGTTTGAGAACCGCCACAAACGAGTTGTTTACAATTTTCTCTTCTCAGAGCTTGTCAAGCATGCACTTGAAATTCTCTCTATTGCCTCAAGGCAGCTTATCCTTCCTGCTCACCCGTAAATTGTACATAGTAGATCCAGTCAAGAACATAAGGTCGATAAATATGAAATATGTGGAGTCAAATGACCAACTCCTCAGTTCTGATTGACAATAAATTTTCGTATGCAAAATTTTGTAAGAGAAACATACGTCTTAGGATTCGCTGTAGCGCAAAGAATCGGTCGACAACCGATGCCTTGGCAACCACACTGGTTGGGACATGTTCTGGTGCCATGTTTTATAGCAAAGTGGTTAGGCAGAATGGTTCCGAAAATAATGACCATGCCGATGCAGACTGATAAACCTGCAGTTTGGGCAGGTGGGTTTGTCGCTCTTTTATAATTGGGAGTAAGACTGACGTCTATTCTTTGTGGAACTTTCCGACATCCCAGATGCTACCGAATGGTTTGGGCCCAGTTGAGATCGCAGATACATCTGGTAGATTTCATGAGACGTTGTTTTCGCCGGTTTTCATCTTCATGATGACGGTGACCGTTTCCCATCTGTTCGGCGGTTCAAGATCGATTTCATTTTGCTTGGTAACACCTGACGACACTATGTACACAACTGTGTCGGGAGGGAAAGCGGATGAGCAGGTGTATTAATTGTTCCACCCGTGTTTGGAGCTTTTAGCCTCTTCGGGTCAATGAATGACTGCTGTCGTCTCGTGGTAAAGGTGGAGGTTGCATATTTCTTTTAGTTGAGTGTGAGTCGCAAGAGTTTCCCGAAGTCTCTCACAGTGGATTTTATTTCCGTAATCGGTTCCAATTTAGACCACTATTGTTAACGGCCATTCTTCGCCCAGTGTGTGGCTTCGAGGCGAAAACTGGGAAAATTCAGGGAGTTGAGAATTGTGGTAACCCTACACTTTGTGAAGGGGTTGAGTGTTGCTTTAGAGAGGTAATTTGTTTTTAGTATATATGTCTTGTCCAGATTTTAAAGGAAAGCACTTGTGGTAGGTGATTCTATCAATGTCCATCGAGATCAATGAGGTTACCGGCATGGATCACCAATCTGAATTCGTCCTCATCCCGATTTTAGTTGAACTTCGCATCAGAAACCAAACCGCGGTGTGAAACAAGCCTTAGAAAAATGTACCGACTCCACTGCGCTGGACCCAAATCGACCACATCACCATCAGTTACCGCTGGAGGGGATCAATTTAAGACTGCCGTTCAGATTGGTCAACAGCTGTAGATACAGACCACGTCTTGCTACGACCCAAGTTCTCCTTACGCCTGGCAAACAACCGCAAAGAAACCACCGACACCGGATACCCACGATACAGTGCCATCGATTGTTGCAAATCGGTCTTCGAAGAGGAACTCTCCAATCGGCTATCGGTTCAACCACCAGCCAAAAGACTCAATGACGACTGGAAGCAAATCAAGGAAGCTATGCAGATATCGATAAAAACAACGTCGCAACCTGCCTCAAGCTCAAAACACAAGCGATGGACCTCGTCGACCCCGGCTGCCCTCCTGGACGCCCACAGAACCCTCCTCCCGAGGCCACATATGACAACGCACAAATCCCTTCAACGCCAGCTCATCAAGAGTCAGAGGAATGACCGCGAGAAGTGGTGGGTAGAAAAATGTAAAGAGATGGAGAAGGCTGCGGCTATTGGTAATAGTCGTAACCTTTTCCATCTAATTAGGAATACGAGCCCTAGGAAAATAGGCGTAAGTGAGGTAATTAAGGAATCCGACGGTACACTGATTCACGATCAGTGACGCCGTCTTGACCGCTGGGCTGAAGACTTCAAGGCTCAGTTTGGCTGGTCCCCATCGACATCTGACCTATCACCCCCCCCCACCTCGGATGGGCATATACTCGCAGTACCAGTACTCCATCTGAAATGGAGGTTTCTCGAGAAATAAGGTATCCCGAAAGGCATAAGGCCTCTGGCCCAGATGGGCTGCTCCCATCAGCCTTTAAGGATGGAGGCTCAACGTTAGTCTTGGAGTTGACAAAACTCCTGGGTTCAATATGGGAAAGAGTAGAGGTTCCAGCTGAATGGTGTGAATCGGTAATCATACCGATTTACAAGAAAGGTGATAGATCCTCTTGTGAAAACCACAGAGGAATTAGTTTAATCAACATAGCCTCCAAACTTCTCGCTGGCATCATACTCAGCCGATTGTCTGCCGCACGTGAACGGTGCACACGTGAGAACCAGGCTGTTTTTAGGCCCGACAGAGGTTGTATCGACCACATCTACACTCTCCGCCAAATTCTGGAGCACCGGCATTCTTTTCTTAGACCCACGATATCTGTCTTCTTCGATTTGAGACCGGCTTTCGACTCAGTCGACCGCTCTAAATTCTGACGCTGCCTTTCTCGGAAATGTGTGCCCGAGAAGTTAATTTCAATATTACGATCCATTTATAGTAATAGGCGAAGTCGAATTCGAGCTTACGGCACTTTTTCGCCCGAGTTCACCACGAGAAGCGGTGTCCGTCAGGGTTGCCCTCTTTCGCTTCCTGTTTAACTTTGTTATGAATTTGGTTATGGGAACAGCCCTATCCTCGTGCGAGGATAGTGGAGTTGATTCACTCCCACATGGCAGACTCTGATCTGAGATATGCAGACGACATTGTGATATTAAGTGAAGGCCCAGGTAAGCTGCAAGCTTTTCTGAATAGCTTGAGTGCCAGTGTAGCCATGTTCGGTATGCGTTTCGCACCTTCAAAGTGTAAAATGTTTTTACAAGATTGGGTTGGTCCAGCACCCAGCCTCACTCTAACTCGGGAAGTAATAGAGCAGGTGGATAAGTTTTGTTATTTGGGCAGCTAAATCTCACCCGGTGAATGCATCACGGATGAAGTGTCAGCCCTTATGCGGAAGGCTCGGTTGGCATTTGCCAACTTGAGACATCTGTGGCGCCGTCGCGACATTCGGCTGTTTGTGAAGGGCCGAGTGTATGCCGCCACAGTTCGGCCAGTTCTGCTATACGGTGCAGAAACTTGGCCATTAAGAAAACTGGATAAAGATAAACTATCCGTGTTTGAACACCGCTGTCTACGCAGCACTGCACGAATCTGGTGGGGTAGCCGGACGAGCAATGCTGAGGTTAGGCGTAGAGTTTTAGGCAATCGCGGTCGCCCACTGGAGCAAGTTGATCGACCTCCATAGATTACGTTGGCTGGGACATGTGTTACGCATGTCACCAGATAGGTTTCCACGGCGAGCGATGTGCGTCGAAGCAGACACCGATTGGAAAAAAGCCAAGGGTGGTCAAGACCTGGCACGAGGGTATGAAAACCCTAACCAGGAGACTAGATCACATAGGTCCTGTTAGGCTCCCGGCTGGAGACCTCGGGATGATCGTAACCGTTAGTTAGAAACACTGAGTGATGTGGCCGGGTGTCGCAAACAGTGACGTTCGTGCATCTCCTCAATTTCTTTACAACCTAAGACCACTGAACTTCTCCATTTTTTGTTCCACTCTACTTTCAACTTTCCTTTCTTCTCCTATTCTTCATCCAAATGGGCAGCCAAAAGACAGCAACCAAAACCGGCGCACGAATATGCGTGGTTAATGGTTGTACAAACTGAAACTGAAACCGACTCCATTTTACCGGGCTTATGTATCACCATCCTTAACAAGCTAGCACTGAGTCAGTGTTCAAAATACGAGTGCCTTCCTCGAAGAATGAAAGCTTATTTTTGAAGCGAAAGACATTGGTTTATCTCTACATATTTCAAGTTTGTCGACATGATGTTTTGTTCATTCATAACGTAGGACTCGCTCTCTTATTGCGCGTGGACTGAGGATCGCAACAAGGGAAAAGCCATTACCTACGCATGTCTAAGATTGAATGATTGACTACTTGTCTCGCGTCAAACGACCGCTTCCCTGTGTACTTGTCATAGAGATATAATGAATCTTTTTACTTTTGCGAGCACATTCGGTTGAGATCCATGGACCGAGCTACATTGGTTTACCACTTACAATACTTACCTCATGAGTCGATTCTAAAATCGTTTCAAGCGGCACTATTTGAATCACTCTTTTTTCGCATGTGCAACGCTCTTCTGGCATACATTTTCCCTTTCACCTTTAACGACCCCATCACTTTCACAAATGTAAATAAATACCCTCCAAAAGCTGGTTTCTCTGGTGATCCGATGGCCAGTGAAACAGGTGAATGGCTGTGTAAGATCTTAAAATAACATGCAAGCAGATCAATTACCTGACACATCAGTGTTCTGACCTCCAAACACTGAATGTAGCATCACTTTTAGAGAGTTAGAAACACCCGGTTCAAGGTATCTCAACAATCCGTATTTCAGTGTATTACCAAGATGGCCCGGTGGTAACATCACCTAACTATCACCCAGGGGAAGTGTGTTCGAAACCCACCAACACCGCCTGACTTTCCCCATTGTGTGTTGAGTGGCAGCCCTTTGATTGGCCGCCTCCCCCTTTCTGAAAATTGCATTTTTGTATATTCAATGAAAGGAAGTAAAATGATAAATAAAAAGAAAGATTGACGATACCTGGTTGTGTTCAAACGATTTGTGACGATAAAAATAAGATCACATTGATCACTGCAACCAAGTAATATTTTTAGGTTGGTCTTCAGATTCTCAACTCGCGTGCAGAAAAGTGAACCACAGAACAGCATTCCGGAAGTGAACAATAGCTTTCTTATTGATCAGGACAGTACTTCAGGTTCAACATGTTTGCCAAGGCAAGGAGCGGGTGGAAATTAAGGGCGATCAAACTAAGGCCTGACATGAAGGTAGGAAAACCCTAACCAAAACACTGGGTCACAAAGGCCTCGTTGGGCTCCCTGGATGAGTATCCCGAGATCATTGTAACCGGTGGCCAGAGACACTGAGTGATATGGCTGCGTGTCGCACATATTCATAATTCCTCCAACCCCAGTCTTTATGAATTCTCTATCTTCACTTTGACCCTACTCTCAGCATTCCTATGTTTACTCCACTCTTTATCCAGACGGGTAGCCAAAAGACAGCAGCCAAAACCGGAGCATAAAAATGCATGTTTAAGGGTTATGAAAACTGAAAGTGAACTGAACTCAGGTTAGCTTGAATGCTGCAGTGTGCTCAAGGCATATTATAGAACAAATCAAAATACACCAAGTAATTAAAACGTTATTGTGACCTGTGACGAGGAGTTTGCAAACTGACGAGCCCAGGAAATAAACAAAGGGAAAATTGGTCACCTGGACGAGAGATTACCCGGATTTCAGTCATACTATCCTGTTTCTTGTCCGGGTCGTCAGGATTCTGCGGTTGTGGTCGGATAAACAGTTTTGAACTTATTCTGACTCACGATAAACAGGTTTGCCGAAAGCGCAGAAATCCAAACGGAAGGCACCAAAGGGAAGCACTCACCACGAATAACAAACGTCCGGTTTCTTTTCCGGACGACCGTTCAACCCACCGCTAGGTAACTGGCGCTCGGCCAACCACCAGGCTGCTCGTTCCAAATTGAGGCGACGCAAANGCAATAAAGATAGTGCCCCGAGGACACAATAAGCTTGTCCGGCGTGTGATTCACTTCCCGGTTGTGTTCCGAATCCACCATCCAAATTTTGACAACGTTCCAAATAGACGGCGCATTCCTCGGCATTCAGTCGACCGGAACGCACACACTCATCTAATCGGCCAAGCAATTTGAGTGAAGCGAGTGCACAAAATGCGAATCGAGTATCGATTTCCCCCCATTCGTCACCACAAAAGCTGCCATCCGGTTGCTGAGAAGAGGAGGTGCAGCACGCACAGATAAAAAGGCGGATTTGATGTAGAGAGTCAGGCATAACGAACACTGAAGGTTATTACGAAAATCGGAAATCACTAGCGGGGTTTTCGCATAGCGCAGTTAATGGAGGAACCTGTCTATACGCAAAGCACTTCAGAGTGAAACTGATATCATTTGGAATACTGCAATTCTGCTGATCTTAAGCGAAAACAAGGCCCTTTTTCAATCCCGCTGGAAGTCTATTGTACATCATAACCGTATGTTATTGACTGAATGAATTCCGAAATGACCGTTTAGACTTTTATTAGTGTCCTTATCAATCCCTTGTTTGTCTACTTTTATTCTGTCACAGTCGTTTTCCCAAACTTTTTCCGCATATTTTTCAACTCAACAGAAACCCAAGTTTCAAGTGTTTAGGTTAAGGGTGTGGTGTACAGTAACTGAGAGAGGTGCCACCAGATCGCCTTCACAAAACGGTTAACCTCGACCACATCTGTAGTTCCAATCACACCCACTGTTTCTGCTCCGGATTGTCTCTCTAGTGTACAGATAAATATCAGTGTGAATAAAATACTCGCAGAAACTATTATGGATACCGAAAGCTTTGAAAGTTCCCCTATTTACTCTTTGGTACAGCGAGACCACCACAATATCATTCGATCAGCCAGCGTGATCTCGATAACATCTATATACGGAAGATTATTGTTTTACCATTATAAGCCTCAAGAACACAGGCGAATTAATACGCTGCTCTCTGACAGATGTATTACTGGAATGTAGATTTTTTGGAAATATCATTCAGCAGTGTCAGGCAATCTCTTTCACCCGTTGGTGAACCAACTCACGAATTGAACCACCAAATGTTTTCGGGAATTGTTGCTCGACTGCAACCAAATTGCGGCCTCACACTCCAGACGAAGAAACATTTATTCGGTTGGAATTTGATCGACTTCTTAAAGATGGCATTATTGACTGCCCCTGGCTTGTCCAAGTACTTGTAGCTATAAGTGAACGGTACAAAAGGCGGATGGTAGTTGACTACAGTCAGACTAATAATCGCTACGCACTGTTTGATGCCTGTCTGCTGCCATAAATAGATAAAATGGTATCTAAATTAGCGTGTTTCTCGAATTTGTGCTGTCCATCGCTCTGGCCACGAAAATGTGGCGGATAACACACTATCTCGCAGCTTCTATTAGGTGTTTACTGAAGTCACTCAAATGGTTATCTTATTCTTTGTGTAAAGCGGAAGTAGCTGAGCTACTTTATTCTAAATGCAGAGTTCTATGCTAAATGGCACATTTCTAGGTCGTGGTCATTGACTGAGGGGTCAGGGTCGAACAAAGTGGCACATGCTTACTAAACAAGCGGTCGTCGATGAGTAGCAGCAGTACTCGAGTACGTGATTGTTATGTATCGGAACTCTACTTTATTTCACAATTCTCGTAGTATTCGTTGTATGTGTATTATATGCACTCATATCCACCATCTTTCCTATTGTAGCAATATCCTCTATTAAAGCCTACGATACGGCCTACCTCTTCTGTTGTGCTCAGAGCATCTCCTTGATTGATGATCTACCACAATTTAATCAACTGAATATATAAAATGGACAAATACCCCCGACCTGAGCGATTCGACATCGATCCTCACTCTTCTGATGCAGGTGACCACTGGACTCATTGGTACCGAACCTTTACAACTTTCCTCCCCACCACTGAATCACTCAATCCCGATAAACTGAATACACTCATAAACTATATTGCCCCCTCGGTCTACGAATATATCAGAGACTGCAAAACTTTCGATGAGGCTATCCAAATTCTGAAAAAGCTGTACGTCAAACAGAAAAGTGCAATCTTCGCGCAACACGTTTT